TGATCCTCACCTGCCCCGTGGTTCCCGCAATGCTTTCTCACTCCTTTCCTCTTATAACCGCTTACTCTCCTTGCCCCTTAGCCTTCCCAGGCTAGTACAGTGGTAACGCTGTCGTGCCTGCTCAATCCCGAGGGGTCGGCGGTTTCGCAGCCCCGCCCAAGCGCGCGAGAAGCTTTTGCAATATGTCGCCCAAGGGGGTTACTGCTGTGGCCGGGCACCACGGTGGGTAAGGACTAAGCTCTGTCGCGTCAGCACTCGCTGACACACGTTGATCGAGTCCGACATTAGTCGGCACAGGCCGGGATCCCCCCATAGCCTGGTGAGACAAGCTTCGCATATTCGGACTTTCCTTATCCTTATCCTTGCCCTTCAGACCGAAGATGGAATCGAGGACGATTCGAAAACTGCTGTCTCACTTTCATCAATAATCGTTTGTGCATTGTGGGTTTTTCTTCCATAATTATCAACACGGTATTGTGTTTTTCACTTCATATATATATATATATATATATATATATATATATATAATATATATATATATAATATATAGTACACACACACATATATATATATATATATATATATATATATATATATATAATATATATATATATATATATAATTAATCACACACACACACACACACATATATTATATAATATATATAATATATATAATATATATATATTATATATATATATCCCTTATAAGATGTCTCACTTCTTCAATAAATCTAGTTTGTGCATTGTGTTTTTTTCTACCCCACACACACACACAAACACACACCACACACACACAAACACACACACACACACACACACCGATATATATATATATAATATATATATATAATATATATATAATATGATATATATAATATATATATATATGTTTTGTGTGTGTGTGTGTGTGTGTGTGTTGTGTGTTATAAAAGAAAAATAAAATATAAACACATGTTTTTTATTATTTATTGGAACAAGCAGATTACAGATCAAAGATCAAATCAATGAGAATATAAATAAAAGGAAATTTCGAAATTCTTTAAGCGTAAATCTGACCGAAGCAAACCTAACAATTTATAAGTCTCCTGCAACAGAAACTTCATAATAGTTATCGAAAATCAAATATGCTTCTCTCCTCTCTCTCTCTCTCTCTCTCTCTCTCTCTCTCCTCTCTCTCTTCTCTCTTCTCTCTCTCTCTATATATATATACTATATATATATATATTATATATATATTATATATATATATATATATATATATATTATATATATAATATACACATATCCTTAATGTTTCACGTATTTACACGAACATCTAAACTGCTCTACGGATAATAATGTGGTCTTAATTGCAGTGAGATAAATAACAAGTAAATGACAGCATAATCATCAAACAATTCCTTTCCGTGGTTGCTAAATAGGGGTCAGTTGTCAGCTCCTGCGTAATACCATACATAGCTTGGATAAACATACATACAAGATTACATGCACACATGTATTTGTAAGTGCGTTTTTCAAGGAGCTGCGTCCCCCGCGTGTGTGTGTGTGAAACAACAAAGAAAATCTGACATGCCCGATGCCTTCAAGCACTTAAGGAAAGGCGAGGACGCAGATGACCCAAGCGCACGCCTGAGCTTCGAGAGTAAGCGTTCTCGCGCGCACCACTGACGATGACGTCACTAGTTTGGCGTCCTCCAGGCGATGTTTTCCGGACTTTCTCTTCGACCTGCTGGACGTCTCCTCTGGTTCCTCCAAGGACACACGCCGCTCGTTACAAAGGACTCGACCTGAAGAGTTGAGTTCGGAGTTTATTTTCACGAGTTGAAGGGTGATTTTCATGTCGGAGGACGAAGATGTAGAGAGGAAAAGGAAGAGAAAGTATAACATTTATGCATCGAGGGATAAGGCGAGTCACTGTTCCTTGTAACGCAGGCAGTTGGTGGGAAAAGTTGTATTACATGGCGGGCTGAGCTGTGTATTTTAGCATTTTACATCAATTCACAATAATGAATTCTCTCGCGAAATTTCAGATTTTGAACAATGTATTTTGAAACCAAGCAGCTCATAACGGAGTGTAATAAAGTTATCATATATTTTTGGTCTTTAATCATAATCGTGTCTGTTTGAGGAAAAGCAAGTAAAGGGCAATCTTATTCTAACCACAGGAAACAGTTAACCACAGAAAGGAGCAACAAATTCATAAATAATTCCTTTCTCCTAATATTATCATCATTTTTTGTTATGACTTTCCTTTTCTTTTTATTATTTCACTAATATCATTATTTCATTACATGTATTGTTAATGTTTCATTTTATCATCATCATTATTTGCAGTAGTAGCATAGTATCATTATTATCATTGACATATTATTGTTATCATTATCATTGTTATACAATGTATTTTCCCAGAAACTTTATACGCAGCGGGTCCATCATAACAACGATAGACGCCAGTTAAAATCGAAAAGGTTCAAGTGTAGACAAAAAACGATATAATAAGTACAACACCACACACACACACACACACACACACACACACACACACACAACACACACACACACACACACACACACACACACACACACACACATTGTGTCGATACTATACTCAATATTTGGCCTTACCTTTTCAAGTTCCTGTTTTGTATTGAAGGGTCCCGTTTATTTGCTTCATTAATTCCCCTTTCCTCCTCTTCTTACTATGTGAAAAAGGTGTTTAGTTTGCGTTATTAATAGCATTTGTAGCTTTACAGTGCAGTTTGTATTACCGATTTTTTCTGTTTATCATTTTATTATATTTCCTTTT